CGTCGGGGCACTCCTCGAGTGCACTTGAACACCTGAGAGCGCGGCGCGCGCCAGCGGCAAGCCCCGGTGCCCGGGTGTCGGCGCGCGCGGTAGCCTGCACTGGACTGAGGCCAATAGTCGCGGGCCCGTTTCAGACAACTCGCCCCCCCAGTGTAGCTCGCCCAAGCAAGCTGCCAAAAATGCCTCGAGGCGGCCGAGCCCCGCGGCGTTCAGCGGCGGCAGCAGCGCCCACTCGAAGAAGCCCGCCACGTGCTCGTCGAAACTGTTGATGGCGGCCGTGCGCGCCGGTTGCCTCTGCAAGAAAGTCACCCCAAATAGAAGGTCGGACTTGGCGTCGCCGAACTTCTGCCCCCTCAGCTTGGCTCGGTTGGTCTTCTGGCGCGCCGGCTCTGGCCGTCCCGCTGCCTGCGCTGGAACTGGACGATGAGCTCCAGCCGTCGCCTGCACTGGGTCGGCCAGCGTGCTGACTGCCGTCGCGGCTGCACGGTTGCCCGCGCTGGCTGAGGTGGAAGCACTGGCGGCGGCCTCCTGTGCAGGATCGCAGAGGTCGCGGCGTCGACGTCGGGGGGCCGAGGTGGCGGTCGCCCGAGCGGTCTTGTCGACAGCGGCCTCCCTCGAGAGACGGGCCCATGCTGCGCTGGCGTTGCGCGGGTCAGAGGCAAAAGCTTCGGGCCCCAAAATGACGGCGCGCGAACACTTGTCGGACATTTTCCACTCCGACGGCAGCCAACGGACGGCTTCGAATATGCCGCGCACGATGCTGTAGCTGCGCGCTACTTCGCGACTTGCCTCATCGATCAATTGCTAGGCTGAGCGACCCTTTAGGACGTTCTCCTCGCGAGCCCATCGGCCGAAGGTCACGTTCCGTCTCGAACTCACAAGGGAAATGATGTACGAGGGCACTGTCGCGAGGCTGAAGGCGTCGGCGCGGTCCTCCGCAACGCTGCCGAATGGATCTGAATCAGAGGCGGGCGCGGTCGCAGCGGCGGCCGAGGCGGCGGCCGCCGCGGGCGGGGGCCAAGGCGGCCCGGCACCTCTGCCCGACGCGGCTTCGGTCGCGTCGGGCCCGCCCCGGGCGAAGGCGAAGTCCCGGGCGGCGGTGGCCCCCTCGACCCCGCACCTCCACTTCTCGCGTGCCCGAGCGGCCTCGAGCGCAAGCGCCGCGTCCAGCTCCCGCTTGGCGGCGCCGTATCCGCCGAACAAAAACTCCCGAACGGACCCAGGTCGCCCGCGCCGGCGTCGGTGGAATAGACCGCGCCGTCGTCGGACCGCTTCGCGTCGTAGTAAGCGAAAAACGCCAGCGCTGCGGCCGCCCGCGCCTCGCGGATCACCTCGGGCCAGAGTCGCCAGCGGTTGTCGCCCGGCCGCATAATGAATCAATAGGCAAACTGGAAAATGCACAGGAGAGGCCGTCGCAACAGCGCGGCCCAGCTGAAGTGACCGACGAGGCTCGCCAACTCGGAGACTGGAGCATACAGCTGGGGCGCCTGACAGAGCAGCGCCTGGCGGGTCTTCCACGTCCGCGAGCGCCCGAGCGAGAGGCGCCCCCGCTCGCGGTCGAAGATGAGCCCCGTGGGCTGTTGCTCCTGGCTCGGCAGCTCGAGCTCCATGCACTTGCCCGCCTCGATGAGCGCGCCGTAGGCCGACTCGAGCAGCGACGCCACGTCGTCGTACTTGGATCCGATAATCCCGGCGTCGTTGGCGTCGGTGGCGGCGACGGGCTCTGCGTCGAGGTCGGGCATCACCATCCTGTCGCGCGCGATCCTGGCGTCACTGAAACCGACCGTCTTGAGCATTTGTTCAACGGCGTGCCGGCGGTGGCAAAGACTCCAATTACAACCAGTTGATGATGCCTTGACGCACGAGGCACACTTTCGCAATACAAGCTGGTCGAAGACGCCATCAGGGAGGGCCCCCGCGAGGGCGGCTCGATCAAAACCAGGACGGACCATTAAATCACTGAGACCAGGGGGCGTGAGGAGCCGATAGAAGGCCGCCTCGATGTTGCACTGCCCGAGGTGCAGGTCGCTGTCAGGAGCCGCGCGAAGACTCTGCCAACTCCCCGCGGCCAGCAACTCGGCGACGTCTGGCTCGGAGAACATGCGGTTCGCCCCGCGCGCGTCCGCGGCCATGCGCCGCTCGCCGCCCCCGCCCCGCCCGCCGACGAAGAACGGCGCCGGCGTGCGCTTCCGCCCCGAGGTGAAATAGATCATGTCAGCTCGGTGCAGGTCGCGCAAAAACTCTGCGCACAAGTTCGGCGAACCCTCCAGCCTGGAGTCGACGCGCAGAGGTACAGTAGCACGCCGCTCATCGCGGGGGCGCAAGATGGCGCTCCCACTTCTGCCGCAAGTCATGCCTGGCTCGCAAACCCTGGCATCCGAAGGCGCCGCGACGCCCCCTTCGGCGCGCAGAATTGTTTTCGCCGGGGAGTGATCGCGCCCAGAAACGAACCCCCGCAGCTCTGCATGAGCCGCCGCGGGGCCGACGCCGGGGGGCCGAGCGACTCGGGGCAGTCGCGTGCCGAGTCGACGCCAACGATCTCGGCCGCCGAGAACTCGCGGAAGCCGTCGCACGTCGCCGCCCGCCCGCCCGTCGAGGAAGTCGAGCGCCGGCAGCGCCTCGCAGGTCCACGGCTCTACAGCCAGCTGCTGACACCCTCTGCTCCGACGCTTTCATCAATTTGCAAAACGCGCAGCGCGGTTGCGCCGCTCGGAATGCGCAGTCGCTACGTCCAGCGGGATCGGCGAGACGTCCTGCTGGGCCACCATGATGGGAGACGCGCTTGGGAGGTCAGCCCCAATCTGCCGCCAGCGGCGCCTCGCCCCCCCCCCCCCCCTTCGGGTTGCTCTTCGGCGCGGCATTCAACGGCCTGTTCAACTTCTCGACGTGGGCCTTCTGTCTGTCAATGGTGGTCTGCATGCTCGACAGGCGAGACGGAACAGCCCCGCCGCTCGCACTGGGATCGCCTCGGGGCGCGAGACGCTCCTCCTTCAATTCCCCGCGCCCCATGAGCGCGATGCTCTCCTCGGGCAGCTCGTCGGCCGCGAAGGCGACGGGGGCGGGCGCGATGCGCGTCAGCCCGCGCGTCGCCCTCGCCCCGAGGTGCAGGTGAGAATCCTCCAACATCTCGCCCCCGCGTGACATCGTCGAGACTCGGTCGCGATGGCGGTGCTCGGCCATCTGGAGGCGGCGGCGCGAGCTCACCGGAGGCCAGCTCACTCGCGTTGAGCTGGTCGAAGGTCAGCAGCAGGCGCACGACACGACAGCAGAGCTTCGCGAACTCGCGCGCCCGCTTGACGGCCCCGGGCTTTCGGTCAGCTCGCTGACCGCCTCGCGCACCCCAAGGGACCTCTGGCGAGGAGTGGGGCGCAGAGCCAGCGGGCGGGCATCGAGCTCGTCCCCGCCGTCGAGCGGAAGCGCGCGCGCCGGCGTGCTCCTCCCCCGCGCCACGGCAAGCCCGACCCCCGAGCAAATCGCGAACGAGCCGGAGTCTACCTCATCGATCGCGCCAATGCCGAACCCATCGCTTGCGGCGAGGCTCCGCCACTGCGAAGGGGAAGCGTCGGGAAGCTTCCCGCGCCCATGGGCCTACTCACTCGGAATCTTCATCGATGCCGAGCCCGATGCCGAGCGTCTCGCTGGGGGCTGCAGGGCGGGCGCACCCCATCCCCAACGAAAGCTCCGCCGCTATTATCTGCTGGTCGCGGCCGTAGATGCCCAGGCCCGCTGGAGTGGCGCCCTCTCGATTAGCTGGCTGTCAACGATCTGTCATATCGAATGGCGCGATGGTTCGCAGCGCCTGGCCCGTCAGCTCGCGTGGGTAGACATTAGATGCCCCCGTCTGGCGTGGCCATGTACCACAAGCGGCCATCCTCCGACGCCTTCACCGAAGGCGGCGTTCCAGTCGTCTCCTGGTACTCCGCCTCGGTACAGCGCACGTGAGCCACCCTCGGGTGGAGCACCTCCCCATCGCGCCACTGGATCTCGAATCGGTGGCCCGCTCGCACGCGGAAAAGCATACCTGCCAATGACGAAGCCGACAATCGTGCAGACCAAGCCGGGAGACAAGGCACAACGGCGCAGCGACCCGAACGTCTGGAGAGCCAGAACGCACCCTGAGGCGTCACCAAAGAATATATACCCAGCAGCACGTCCCAGCCCGTCTCTGAGAGGATCCAGATCGACACTCGGGTGAACCCCGCGGCGACAGGCGCCCACGGCATGAAGCGGCCGATGAATTCGTTTGTGATTGAATGGTTGCGGAGCAAAAACGGCCACGGAACAGATCAAACCAAAACGTTGCAAACAACTGGATCAGATGATGGTGGTGGCGAACGGTCGGCGATCGGACGGATGGCAACCGCATTATTATATTCTCATCGGGAAGCTTAAAGGAACTCACTGCATTCAGAAGCGCTCTTATGATCTCTGCCTTAATCGCAACCATCTTGAAGCGCCTCCCAAAACGTCGCAACCACTTTGCGATCGGTCGTGCTCCCAAATGGGGGGGTCCTGAGTACCGAGAGGGGCACTCGAGCCCAGACGGCGTCGGACGAGCATGTAAGACGCCCTGGAGGACGCTGCGGAGGGAGGGAGGGGAGGGGAGGGGGGGTAGGAGAGGAACGACGGAACGCGGGGGCGGGGAGGCAGGAGAGAAAGAAGGCGACAACGAGGGAGGGATCGAAGGGACGAGGAAAAACGCTGGCCATGATCGCGAGTCTGGGCGTCCATCAGGAATGATGGGGGAACGGTAGGGGGACCCGCTGAGGGGAGACATATCGACGTGAAATCGGTGATAAATCACCGATAGCTCGACGATATGCCCCCGATGGCAAAAGAGCACGGCCCAGTGCGGGGTGGCCCATTGGACCCCCATCGGCGGCGAGTTGTCCAAATGGGCGATCGGGGGTCGATGCATCCCCCCCTGAGCCTATCCCCCCCCGCCCTAACCCCCGAATGCCTTCGAAACCATGGCCTGCGGCGGCGGCGGCGGCGGCGGCCTGCCGCGGCGCCCCCGTCTCCAGGTCCCACAGCGCGCAGGTACCGTAGACGTCGCACGACGCGAGCACAGGAGCCGCCCCCGCCTGGGCGGTTTCCGCGCCCCTCCCAAAATGAAGGCAAACTGAGGACAAATTCGGATGGGGGTGAGTCGGGAATCTCGAGGATCGGCGGGTCTGGAGAGGATGTTCTCGGGCGCCGCGGCCTTTTCGGAGCGCTCTAGAAAGCTCTGAGGACATTCAGGAACAATGTCGTGCTTTTTGATTACGCTTGGGCCGCCTGGAGGCTCCTCGTCGCCACGGCCAGATCCGCCTCGAAAACGGGTCAGGATGGAACCTGGGACCGAGATGGATCGGCTTGGGGCCAGTGCGGCAAGTTCGGGTCGTGACGACCTGCGCGCTGGCTCCCGACACCGCGTGGGTCGTTCAGCCCGCTAGCCTAGAACGGCATTCGAGGTCGCGACTTTGCAGTAGCACGGATCGTCCCATATCAGCCGATTCCAGGCCGCTGGAGGTGTTCAATCTTGAACGACCGCGCCAAGGTCGCCGCCGCGTCAACGCGGCGCGAACCTACCGTATATGAGAACGCCCCCCAGTTCGCAGTGTCGGCTTCTTTTCAAAAGCACGACCGCAACGCACATCTTCGAAACCCGTTTGAACTCATCGTCGGCGTCGCCGAGGATCGAGGACTGTTGGCTTCTTGTTCGTTCTTGGGCGGTTTGGGGCCTCAACAAGCATCCTAGTCTCTGGGCTTAGGGGGAAGAATGGCGGCTTTCGGAACACTCTGGATGACGTCAGTCATTGTCATTCGCGGGCCGAAGGTCGAACTGGTTGAGAAACTCTGGACGCTGCCGGGCATCCAGAGCTCTCCAGGAGGCTCCCCGGACCCCTGGGGGCCTCTGGAGACTGGAGACTTGCCTCTGGAGGCCTCAGGGCGTCGTTGACGCTTCCACGTGTTGCAAATATGGACCTCCTGGAGGGGCACTCGCGGCCACAGGCTGGATGCGGCTCGAAGAACAGGAGGCGGTGCGTGGGATTGACTTCAAGTGGCGCTGGCAGCCTTGTTCCAGCAGCAACATCAACAGAGAAAACTGTTGGCAGGAGGGCCCTATAATCCAATGGTCCAAAATCACTCCGCATCATGTCCCTCCCCTCCCAGGTCCTATCATAAAGCTCTTGGGGGAAAGGGAATGAAACATCCCCGTGGTGGGAGCGCGAGGTTCATGAACCATCGAAGAACTCGTACCACCCTCTGCATTAGAACGTGGCGATCGGCACTTCTCAAGGGAACCACCCCGTGGACCTTCGCTCGTCGATCGCAGACCGAACACATGTCGCTGCGGAAATTTCAAACAATATCGTCACCTCATGGCGGCATGACATGGGACTACGTACAAGCGTGGCTTTGAGGAAAGGCCACACGAAATGGCCACTTTACGGCAGCATGGAGAGCGAACAATTTTTCGGGTGATGAAGCCCCGAGCGAAATCGCAATGCCCTGGACGGATGGCCAACAAAAACGGTCGTTCTGCAGCGCGACTGGAAACTTCATGTTCAAGGAAGCTGCCAACAAAATGCCACTTTCCAGTCTGGGCCCGCCAACTTGTCCTCGTTGTATAGGCTAAAGAAGGTAAGATGAACCAAACACTCCCACGTCGACTTCAAATCCAACATAGCACTGGGGCCCCGCGGCCCAACGGATCAATCTCTGGCCAAATCGCAGACGCACGGGCACGCGCTCGCGCCGCGCCTGCCCTGCACCACACCACCGTGCACCGAAAGCCCGCCGGACACGCGGCCGACTCCGAAACCCCGAATCCCAGACCGTGCGTGTCGCTTCTGTTTCCGCTGGCCTTCGCCCGCGGACCCGCCTCCGTCTCCAGACGTTCGGCCGGACTTCCGCCAGCGCCGAGGGCGAGGATGCGCCGGATGCGAGGCCCCTTCTGCCTTCTGGACCGCCTCGCGTGGCAGACCGAGAGGAAGGGGAGGAGCCTGCGCAGGAAGCGCACAGGAGTGTCGTGTCCAAGCACCGCCCGCCCGCCCCTTCGCGGGGGCCATCGGGATGTGAAGTCTGGGCTTCAACATCTGGGCAGCGCAGCCAGTTCCCATCAGCGCAGCCAGGCAATTATCACCACCGCACCGTTCTCGGCCACCATGGCCTCTGTTGAATTTATCCATCAAGCATCAAGCCTCAGATGCACAGGGTCGCTGTTTCTCAGTCCCGCATGTCCCGGTGCACGCCCGCCCCCATCACAGTCTTTTCTCTCCCCAGACCACGTCCTCAGAATATCTTGGAGCCCTGGGAAGCGTAAATCCCACCAGCCCTCTTGGCGGAGGGATGTAACGCGTTTCATCTTTCCCCTACCTCCTGCTCTACCTCCTGCCTTTTCCTTTCCCCCTAGCTCCTACATCCTCCCTGCCATCTTCCCTCTGCTTCCTACTGCCTGACTGCATCCGGCCTCCCCTCCCTGGGTAGTACCAATTGCGCAACTGGCGCTGCAATCTGCGCAACAATCGCAACTGTCATGAGATCCTGGGAGGTCGAGCGGAGCGACGCGCTACGCAGAGCCAAATGCGACCTCGCCCTCTCTCGGTGCTGCCAACTGCGCATCTGTTGCCCCTTCTGTGAGATCATGGGGGGCCAAGCGGAGTAAGGCGCTACGCAAACCCACATGAGACCTCGCCATTCCTGGATACCGCCACCTGCGCAACTGTAGCCGCTTCGGTGAACTCCTTGGCATACCAGCGAAGTGACGCGCTACGCAGACGCAAACAAGACCTCGCCCCGTCCCTGGATGCTCCGAGCTACGCAACTGTGACCAGTTCGGTGAGCTCCTGGGCGGCCGAGCGGGTACACGTCCTTCTGGCATTGCAACTAAGACCTCGCCTGTGTGGCGGTGACAACTGCGCAACTATTGCCACTGTCGTGAGCTCCTGGGAGGTCCAGCGGAGCGACGTCCTGCGAGCATCCCAACTGCATCTCGCCTCCCTGGGAGGAGGGTGAACTGCGCAAGTGCCGCTACTGTCGGAAGTTCATAGTGTACTCCAGCGGAGCGACGTCCTACGGGCATTCAAACTCGTGTCCCTACAGGGTGCCAACTGCGCACCTGCCGCCACTGTCGTGCGCTCCCGAACTGGACCTCGCCCTCACTGGGGATCGTGCCAGCTGCGCAACTGTCGGTACTTTCGTCAGCTGCAGGGAGGCGGGCCCATACGCATACCCACGCCATGATCTTGCCATACGTCTTGGGTGGGTTGGGTACGTCTTGGGAGAATCACTCTCTTCGGTCATGACGCCCCAAGGAGTCCCCAAGAGATCCCCCGAAAGGCCTCAAGAAGCACACACGTGATTTTTGTCTTAACGTTTGTCAATGATTTCGCATTCTCGCCTTTTCGGTCTGAAGAGTGTTCAAAACCCCCCAATAGAACCCCAAGGTCGACCCAGCAGGCAGGCAGTCCGATCGAGTCAATGCTCGGCCCAGAATCGGGCGCGACTGTGCTGAACATCAAGCATCGCTGTTGGAGCCCGAATGAAAATGCACGAAGTCTTCTTCGTGCTCGAGAAAGGCATTGCCGACACTCATGTCATACCATTTGGTCTCAAAATATTCCTTCGCAAATTTGCGCAGATAGTCGTCCCATCTCACTGCGGGCCGTCCACGTGATCGTCCAGCCCCAAGACAACTTGCAGGTTAACAATTGGACTCTCCAGTCTTCCATAGGATATGTTAAGCCAGCGTTCACTTTCAGCCTCATCCTCCGCATTGTGTCGCCCCACGGCTCGTCTTCCAGGCGAATCCAACCAACCAATATCGACCCGAGACGACATAAAAGGCACCTAAGAGGTCTCCAACACAGCCCAAGATGGCCCCATAGAGCCCCAAGGAGACCCTGAAGAGCTTTAAGAGGGTCCCAAGACGGCCCGAAGAGGCCTCCAAGACGGGCTGAGCCGCCAGAAGGCCCGAGCGGGCCCCAGGAGGCCCCCCAGAGAAGGCGCAAACGAGCCGAAGCGAGCTCCAACGGCCAGCCCCAGGGGGCCCCTCCCAAGTGTCCGAACGGTGTGGCTTCCCAAGGGGCAACATGCAGTCCACTAGTGCGGCAGCGCCTTCGCTCGACGTTTCACGACACAGTCGTTTCCCCAAGGCACGGGGCAGAGATCACAAGCTGCTCCGATGTCAACTGTTACCACAATGACTCTTGAACCTGACGCGGGTACTACGCGCCCAGCATTTCGGAGAGGGCGGCGAGGAAAGGGGCAAACTTCGAGGGCCTAGGTCGCCTACTTCTACGTATCTCGCTCCACGATGCGCAATCGGCTTCGCGTCCTCGCGCCACCCTGTGGAGAAGGACCCGCTCTCTTGCCCAGGCCGCGACGCGTGAAACGCCATTCTCTTCGCGCGGACGACCTTGTCGAGCCGGAGACACGTCTGGCAACCTCTGACAAAAGAGATGCGACGAGGGTTCCGGTCCCGTCCTCGGGGTCGACGTCGATGGCGGTGATGGGGCAGCAAACGCCTCTGGGGTTCGCCTGGGCGCGGGCTGGTGGCGGATATCGGATTGAGGACGTTATCGGCATGAAGGGGACGGGTCCTGGAGGAAACGGGTCATGGATTTGCTTCGCCGATTTCGGGCCCCTGGGGCACGGGACCTGGGGAAATAATGATACATGTATGGTGTATATATATACACACATTTTTATATATATGTGTGTATATACACATCCCTGTATGACCACCCTTCGGGTGATAAGGCGGTTGGGGGGTGGGGGGAACAGAACCAACAGCTAAAAAATGCGATGGGTGTGATGATGACGATGCCGGAGACGCGCCGACAAATTAGCGACGACGCGTGATGACGATGTTGCGATACGATGTAAAATACTATCGCCCCCGCTTCCGATTTCACTCGATCGATCTCACTATCGACCTCACGGCCAGTCTTAGCACCAATGGGTCCAACGATCGATTACATTGTGCTGACCCCAGGGGAGATCGCCTGTCCCCGCGAGATCTGCACGACCCAGGGAGCGACGGCGCGAGCACAACCAATGTCACAGTCCACCTCAATGTCGATCTCACTCCTGAAATCATTGTCCATCCCATTCCAGCGATCTCTTATCGATTTCACTATCGACTTCACTATCGATGCCAAGGCGGGGCACCCCTGGCCACCGCCTGCCCACCGCCGACGGAATACCGACGGGACACCAACGGGACACCACAGGACACCACGGCTGACACAGCGGGCCACCGCGCACCTACTGGGGGCAGAGGGGCGGTCCACTGAGTCCGAATCGCCCTAGCAACGAAAGGGTCATTCCTCTCGCGCGCACACACAGCTACGTACAAACATTGTGCGTTTAGAAATTTATGCTGTGCTATCAACGCGGGACAATCTATATGTGGTGCGGCCCATGTGGTGCAACGTATGCGGCACTATCTATGTGGTGCATCCTACGTGGCGCGTGCGACCCGTATGGGGCTTTTACGTTGTGTAGTAGATGTCGTGCGGCCTATGTTGTGCACTCTATGTGGCCAATTGATGTTGGGCAGTATACGTGGGACAGTGTATGTGCTGCGATATATACATATATATATATATACATTTATATATGTATATGTGGTGGAGCATCTGCGATGCAGCGTGCGTGGTGCCATTTATGCGGCGCGATCGATGGTGTGCAGTCAATGTCTGTTCGCAATGAATGGTCCACTCCACTGCTCGCGCAAACATTCCACCCACCCACCCGCATTTTGGTTTGCAAACCCCATGCGGGGGCGATTGCGATGGGTGCTTGGCGCTGGCTGGTGCATCTCTGCGGCCGCGACAGCCCGCGCATTCGCGCGCGCAACGGCTAAGCAGTTTGGCGCGACCGACGCGGCCGCGGTGGTGCTGACCGCTCGGCACACCCCAGCGGGCACTTGAGTGCGGGTCGGCGACTTGGGCGGGTGCGGTATCATAGCGACGCCGACAATTGTAGACACGATGATGATGATGATGCTGATGATGATGGCGATGATGATGATAGTAACGATTTCGGCCAAGATGCTGACAGCGACGACGGCACGGCCAGTGACGGCGCCGATGCCGATCACGCCGAGGACGACGACGCTTTCGCGTCGGTGATGGAGGCTTTGGAAAAAACTGAAATTCGCGCGCGAGTGGCTCGCATGCTGTTATTTGACACGGATCGTGCGAGTTCGAACGATTTCGACATGCGCGCGCGAAGCCCGTTTGGTAGCATGTCATGAAATGTTGAAAACGCATGGACGTCTTAGGAATTCGCAAGGGCGTGCGCGCACGCTTTCTTGAAAATCCGCGTTGCGAACCCCTGTGTGTTTGTGTGTTTGGGACATTCGCTTTTGACGTATCCAGGATCGAAGGTTTTTGAAATATTTCGGCATGCGAGCGCGACGACGCTCGCGCGCGCACGGCGTCTCATGTTTTGCAAGGGGTTCTCGCGACGCCACGCGCGCAACGGCGTCCAAACGAGTTCGGCATGTGCACGCGCGAAGCCCGTTTGATAGCATTGTCTGAACATCTTGAGAAACCGATGGCATGTTTCAGAGTTCGCAAGAACGCCCGCGCATGTTTGTTTGAAAACCGTGTTGCGCACCCCTGTGTGTTTATATGTTTGTTACACTCGATTTTAAATTCCTTCCGAAACCAAAAGTTTTGGAAGGATTTTGGCATGCGCGCGCGACAACGCGCGCGCACGTCGTCCCAACAGTTGCAAGGGATTATTGAAAAACTTATGGTTGTTTGATAAACGAACGCGCGCATAACATGTTTTGCAGAGAACTGCTGGCGGGGGCGATACCGGCCTAGCTGGGATAATATGGGTTCACAGGTAGGATGGACATTGGGTCAGAGCCACACGTAAATTTCAATACGAGTAAGTGAAATGTTTAACCCCAGGGGGGGGTAGAATCTATCTCCTTTTTAAAAAAAAAAGAATATATGTGTTTTTATAACCAACGAGTTGACACACCCCACGCTCTTGCAAACATCCCACCCACCCACCCTCAACGTGGCTTGCAAAACCCATGTGGTGACGATTGCAATGAGTGTTTGGAGTTAGCTGGCCCATCTCTGCGGCCGCGCCAACCCAAGTGCGCGCGAGCAGCGGCCAGCTAGTTTGGCGCGACCGACGCGGCCGCGGTGGCGCTGACTGCTGGGCACATCCCAGCTGGGCGACGACACCGACGACGTCTCCAACGACTTCGACGCCGACAACGACGACGACGACGACACCGACGACGACGACGACGCCGACGCGGACGCCGACGACGACGACGACGATGACAACGACGACGACGATGACTACGCCGAAGACGACGACAACGACGACACCGACGACGACGACGACGACGTCCACGACGCCGACGACGACAACGACGACGACGGCGGCGACGACGACGACGCCGACGTCGACGACGACGAAGACGACGACGACGCCGACGCCGACGACGAAGACGACGACGTCGCCAACGAAGACGACGACGAGGGAGGAGGGAGGACGACGACGGCGACAACGACGACGAAGACGACAGCGACGAGAGAGGGTGGAGGACGGCGACGACGCGAACGACGAAGAAGGAGGACGGACGGCGACGCCGACGACGACAACAACGAGGGAGGAGGGGAGACGACGACGACAACGACGACGACGACGGCGACGAAATAGGAGGGACGACGACGAGACGCCGACGACGGACGACGACGACGACGACGAGCGAGGAGGAGGAAGGACGACTACGGCGACAACGACGACGGAAACGACCACGACGCCAAAGAGGACGACGACGACGAACACGAGGAAAGATAAAGGAGTACGTAGGCGACGACGACGACGGCGACGCGGGAGGAGGGAGGACGGCGACGACGACGACGACGACGACGCAAGAGCGCGCGCGCAAGCTTTTGCTGAAAATCCGTGTTGCGAAACCTTGTGTTTTGGTATGTTTGTTGGACACACGATTTTGAATTCCTTCCAAAACCGATGGGTTTTGAAGGATTTCGGCATACGCGCGCGACGACGCGCGCGTCTGCACTTCGTCCCATTTTTTGCAGAGGATTCTCGCGACGGCACGCGCGCAAAGGCGTTCGACAGACGTCGACATGCGCGCGCGAAGCGCGTTTGGGAGCATTTTGTGAAAATCTTGAACAGCCTATGGATTTCTTAAGATTTCACAAGAACTCGCGCTTAAGCTTTTTTTGCAAATCCGTGTAGCGAAGCCCGTTTTTTAATGTTTTTTGGAAACTCGATTGCGACATCCTTCCGACACCGAAGGTTTTTGAATGATTTCGGCATGCGCGCGCGACGACGTGCGCGTGTGAACTTCTTGCAAGGGATTCGTGAACAACTCTTATGTTAGAGCGAAAAATGTCCCCGCGTATCGTTTTTGACAAAGGAACCTCAGGGGGCCCGATACCGGCCCCTCCGGGATAGTTTAAATTCATATTTAGGACGGACATGTGGTCAGAATCATGTATGATTTACATACCCGAAAAGGGGGCGGCGAACGCCGGGGGGGGTAGAGTCTATTCTGTTCTAGAAGGGAGAATCACTTCACTGTGATGTCTTGAAGCTGTCCTCTCCACTGCTCGTGCACACATCCCACCTTCCCACACGCAACTTGGTCGCAAGACTTCTTAAGACCGTGACCGTGGGTACCAAATGGAACTTGGCAACGACAGCGACGCCGACGACGACAGCGACAACAACCACGACGTATACGCCGACGACGACTACGACGACAACGACGACGTCTCCGACGATTGCGACGACGACGACGACGACATCGACGACGACGACACCGACGACGACGACGACGCCGACGCCGACGATGACGACGCCGACGACGGCGACGACCAGGACGACGATCACGACGGCGTCGACGCCGACGACGACGACGACGCCGACGACGACGACGACGCCGACGACGACAACGACGAGGGAGGAGGAAGGACGACGACGGCGATAACGACGACAACGACGATGGGTACCAAATGGCACTTGGCAGCGACAGCGACGCCGACGACAGCGACAACGACCACGACGTCTACGCCGACGACGACTACGACGACACCGACGACGCCGACGACGATTTCGACGACACCGACGACGACGATGCCGACGCCGACGACGACGATGACGACGCCGACGGCGACGACGACGCCGAAGGCGAGGACGACGACGACGACGTCGACGCCGACGACGACGACGACGCCGCCGACGCCGACAACGAACACGACGACGACGACGACAACGTCGGCGACGCCGACGACGATGACGACGAGGGAGGAGGAAGGACGACGACGGCGATAACGACGACAACGACGATGGGTACCAAATGGCACTTGGCAGCGACAGCGATGCCGACGACGACAGCGACAACGACCACGACGTCTACGCCGACGACGACTACAACGACACCGACGACGTCTCCGACGATTGCGACGACGACGACGACGATACGCCGACGACGACGACGATGACGACGCCGGCGGCGACGACGGCGACGA